GGCGACCAAGGCTGCAATAAGAAGATTGAATACTAAGCTGAGGGTGTCGGAAAGAGACATGATGTAGTCCTGGCCATCGTGACTGTCCTCGATCATGCACTTATCCCCGTGTTTTCATTCCAGACGCGACCCCGAGCAAGGGGGATCAACGAGGAGGAGTCGAGCACTTGGCACAGATTCATTATGAGGAAAGGGAGGCATCGTCGTTGATGGACTTCCCCGCAGAGAAGGATTCATAGAAAATTACCACTACGTGAAGTAGAGAGTAATCATTGGTGCCGATCAATGTATTCCATGTAATACGAGGAAATTGATTGTATTGCGAGCAGCGCGGAGTAGAAGGAATCCCTCTTCGGGGAAAGTCGGAGGAGCGCCGTCATGAAGTATTCACCGCCCGGCAGATTGTGGAGTGTAGCCTGAGGCACTAAGGCTGACAGTGCGGACGGAAGCTCGCAGCGCCGAGGGGCTCGTGCCCAATCAAAAACTGGCAGGCTATCAGATGGTCCGGTGGCCCGATCAGATTAGATAAATCCGAAGTCGGTCCCCATCGCCCATTCCCACTCACTCACACAAATACCGCCTACTCCTAGTCTTCCAGCCTGAATCCACTTGGGTACTGGCATTTCGATTCAGCATGATCTCTGGTCTATGAGTATTCGCGCAGGCTGGCATTGCTCCCTCAATCAACTTCCAAGAACTCACCGCATTTTCCCTGCCACTTTCTAGCGAGCCGGTTTTCACTCACAGCGGGTCTCGGAAGGTCGAATGGCCGGGCGCAGAGAGGATCTCGTGCGAAAGTCACCTCACCTGGCATGACCCACAACCACCCTTAAGACCCCTCTCTCCCTCGTTCTTCCTCATTACCCCTCCTTCCAGTCATGTTAGCACTCAGTGGGCTGATCCTCTTCATTGTCTATAATACCTCGCTCGTCGCCTCCAGCTCCCTCCCCAAAAACGAACGCTGCGTAACTGCGATATACACCGCCTATGGATACATTACCTTCGCCGCGCACCCCGACGTGGGTTTTTGGGAGACCCGGTGTCACAACCCGCTAGAGGTCACCTCCATCTACGCCTCTTCGGACATATATTGCCGCCCAGCGGAGAGAGAAGCAGGAATTGCACAACTGGAGAGGTCATGCCGAGAGTACGGGGATGTGGGCCTGATACCGCGAGAGCAGCTGGCCGAGAACCTCACCCAAGATGCTCTTCGTCGCATGCCAGTCGTCAAATATCTGGAGATACCGAGAAAGCACCCTGTCAACACGCCGGTTTTGCTCGCACCCAGTCATTATGACATTGTCTTTAACACTATTGTGCGTTTGTCCCCTCATTGTGCCAAATGCATTCTGACCAATCTTCTGGCAGGATACTTGGGAGTTTGAAGTATGGACTCATTACGCTTTTGGGTACGATTGGACTTTCCCTTCAACTGAGCTTCTCCTAACATCAGCAGATTGGCTGGGTACGGATTCTGGTTATGCATACTCAGCTTGGGCATGCTTCAGCGGCTCGTACATCACATTATTCAATCTCAGGTGGTGCAAACCAGCTATAGGTCTAGCTCAGGACTACGTCGACTATGCTTGCCCATACAGAACCTCCGCCACTGGATACAGGTGTATCTGGTGGTTGCTCATCCTCTACAACCCCAGAGCCGCAAGCTGCTCTGGTGGACCTTTCCCACACGCCTAGACGCTATAGTTGTGCTCATCTTCTGGGCCCTGAGCATCGCTGCGTGTACCGTGAGCTATCGACTCATCCCGGATAATCTCTAGTAAGTCTTTCGACAGAGACTGCGGAGCTTTAGCTAACTGGTCATCTCAGCTGGCCCGATAAACAATCGCAGCTCCTCCGATACGCAGCGGACAGAACTGGGATTGTATCCTTTGCCAACATTCCATTACTCTGGCTCTTTGCGGGCCGCAACAACATCTTCATCTGGGCAACAGGATGGAGCTTTGCCACTTTCAATCTGTTCCACCGCCACGTGGCCTGGATAGCAACCATTCAGGCTGTTGCTCATACTTTTCTTTACCTCTTCATTATGTACGAGAGTAAGTTGTTTCCCTCGTGATACTGCTGGGAGATAGCTGACGATACTTACAGAGGGCAGACTGCTCAAAAAGCTGACGAAACCATATCTGTTATGGGGAACAGGGGTGAGTCTTGACACTTTATAGGGATATCCACACCCACTGATCTTCATACAGGCAACAATCCTTATGGTTCTGCTCCTACCATTAGCCATCCAGTGGTTTCGGCACCGATCCTATGAACTATTCCTCATTATACATATTATATTCTCCATTGGGCTTCTAGTTGGATGTTTCTAGTGCGTACCCTACCATCAATTTGTAATCTCTCTACTAACCGCGTTCTCGTATCAGTCACACCATAATCTTCTCCGACCACGAATACTGGACCTACCTGTGGTCGGCGGTGGCTATTTGGGGCGTGGACCGGGCACTCCGTCTGATCCGCCTCCTCTACTGCAACATCCATGTGCGAGTCAATGCCGGAAACAGTATACAGTACAGTAAGAGCTTTGCCAGCTATGATGCGTCGGCAGACGTGATCCGGCTCGAGGTTACCCCCGGCTCGAAGCTTCTCTGCCCTACGCCAGGACAGTATTATTATCTCTACCAACCGTTCCGACTGACAGGATGGGAAAGCCACCCCTTCACCCTGGGTCACTGGTACTACGAAGCCGACTACAAAGATGCATCCCCCACCCCACCACTAACCAAGGGCGACCATACGATCGACGTGACCCAGGTTCCCCTCCTCTCCGATTCCTCCTCCGAGTTCACATCGGCAGAGGCAATCCAACTCAAACGTGACGCCCCTAGCGGCTTGAGACTTGTCTTCTGGATCCGACCCTACGACGGATGGACCCGCAAACTCCGCGACCAATGCATCCGATGCCCGACCCAAACCATAGACAGCACCATCCTTCTGGAAGGCCCCTACGGCGACCGATTCTCGCTCTGGAACTATGAATCCGTGCTCCTAATAGCCGGCGGAACCGGCATCGCCGCGATAATCCCCTACATCCATGGGCACCTCTTACGTACCTCAGAAGACCCCGACCAAGCATCTACCCAGATTCGAGACATACAGCTCGTCTGGGTCGCGCGACAGGCCGCGTTTATCCGACAGCTTGCCGCCCGCGAGTTAGCACCGGCCTTGACGCGCGATGACTTCCGAGCATCGTTCTATGCCACTGCCAAGCAAGCTCCACACGACCCGGATCGGTTGGAATCCATGGATGAGCTAGAGGTGGCACAGGGACGACCGAACGTGGAAAGCCTTGTCTTAGTGCATGCGCATGCAGCGCAACTCAGCGAGTCGTCTGTGGCGGTGTTGGTGTGCGGTCCGACAGCCTTGGCAGATCAGACTCGGGCTGCGGTGTGCTTGGCTTTACAGCGGGGTTATCGGGGGATCCGCTATGTCGAGGAGTCGTTCAGTTGGTAATGTGTGACGATTTATGACTGGCTTTGATGTGTGCTTTGCGCTTGTACAGAAAGACTGCTTAGATATTGAATTCTTGCTTGTTAGATTTTGGTGTTGGCATAATATAGACATGAACGATTTTGCAGAGATTGAGGTAAGCACCAAGGGTTGATACCACTATAGCCCTATGGCCGTTTACATATAGCTAGACGGTTGCTATGAGAAGAGGGGTGAAGGAGTTGTCTGCTCCGTGCTATCTGAGTGAAGGATGCATATGGTATATCATTCCGGAAGATGATCTAGCATAGCTATATAGTACTTCAATGGTATGAACCCCTAACCAAGTCTCTTTCACATGGCCACATACGAGTGACTTTGATACGGGTCGAGTAATCGGATTGTAGTGAATATCTTAAGGCCAGGAAGAAATGGGAATTCACCTTTCCCCACATTTCCTTCTTTTATAACCATCCTACACTCTTCCGTTCCATCTACATCCATAGCATCTGGTTCAACAACCTCACTGCGAGCTTCAACGGAAACAACTGCTCTTTACATTATACCAAAGCCCAGAGCTGAACGGCTGTTACTCAGAAGATACCCATCTATATGCAATGTTATCAGAATATCGGATACGTGTTGTCGGATAGCAGATAATGATACAAAGCGACCTCTGCATCTAATCTCTCTCCAAACACGCCTGCCACAACGGACCACAAATAACGAACCCGTCGCCGCCGTTCGAAGGCCACAATCCATAGCATTACTGCTACTACCGCTGCATTTCTCCTTCTCTCTCTGCGCATCCATGCAGAAGCTATCTTGATTCCACTCGATATCTGGATAATCAATCTACGGAGACAAATGGACCTAAGATAGCCATCAAAGCCACTTCACTCGTGGCGAGTCTGTCTCCTAGAAAGAGCATCTGTTCGACTTATACACTCAGGACAGATACTGCGCAGATGGCAAAAGCATTGATCCTCAGATGCTGCAACCACTGAGATTCGAGAGAGATATGCTAAGTCAAATATCTGTGGACAGCAACGACACCAGCGGCCTTGCCTAGTTCCGCAGATAGCCTGATGTAGTCAGGATTTATCCATCCCCCAACTCTCTCGCAGGTGTTATCAAGACTGATTAGACGTCTGGCTCAGGATCAAATGGTAGGATATTGATAAAGTTACTTAAGGTTTTAAACACCCAGTAAAGAGAGTCCATGCGGTATTTGTAGCGAGGATCTGAACAGGGGGGATATTGGATCATCAACACCTGATAACCCCATCAAGGTTCCTCAGAATGCATACTCGGACTCTTGCTTTGAATTCACAATTCTGTCCATCACATTGACAGGCATATTTATTTACTGGTACTTGCGGTTGGTAGCTACAAGCTCTGAATGTGTCTGATCAGATTATCTACTGTTTCCCTGCACGTTTGTATCCGAGTAATCCGCGATGTGCTATTCTCTGATTTGATGCATTTTATAGGCAATTGAACATTTCCTAGAACACTTTGGGGCATGAGTAACGCCCAGATGGAAATTAACCAAAACCCGAAAACAGTCCGTCCGCCCATCCGGCATCGTCTTCGACCTCTGGAGCCTGGTCATCGTCGGGGGTGAGGTTACTTGCTTGCAAAGACTCGGCTGACTCCCCACCAGACCATGAGTCCGGGTCCTCAGAAGGCACTCTACTCACTTCAAAATCGGCAGCGAGAGAGTCGGGGATGGTGTTAGTATGACTGTCTTCATCCTCAGGGTCGGATGGCGGAGTAGCTGGTTCTTTATCCAAGTCCCCATCCGTACCGTCCTCGTCACTGGTCGGGTCTTGACGCATTGCATCCAGAGCTTGCGACATTGCATCAAACTCGTCCTGGCAATCTTCCGGAGACGACTGGTCAGGTTGAAGAAGCTCGTCTTGAATTACCTCGAAATCCTCCGGGCTCGGGATGACACCCTGCGGAGGTAACAGCGTGTCTTGTGGGGGGGCGGACGGCGCCTTCCGACTGTGGCCTTGTCCTCTCGGAGCCCCGATTCGATGGTCTCGGATGATGGTTGCAATCAGGCTCTCTGCTTTTTTGATACCCAGTTTCCGAAAGAACTTCTTCTCCAGAGGGAATGTCCGGTTGATTTCCAGATGCACCCAGTCTCGCGGTGGGATTCTGGCTACCACTGCTGCATGGTTCTGCGACTGCTGGTCGGTACCACTACCGGAGGCGTACTCGTCTTGGGCCCTCTCGATGTCATCGGCTGTGGTGTCCGGGCCATGAAGTCGAAGGGCCCGTTCCAAGATCAGAATCAAGTCGCATGCGCATTTCACCACCATCCGGGCGGCCGGCCAGATCTTCAACAACGGGGTCGTTGTGGATAACAAGATCTGGCCCACTCCCATCATAAAGTTCCACACGTCCTGCCCCGCATTCTGGAACCAAAAGGCTCTAAGATTGTGAAGGACAATCTTGAACAGTCGAGGGGTTACATCATCTCGCGTGATCTTCTCCAACCCAAAGGAATCGAAGATCTGACTGCAAAGGATGTGGCACAAAATTGGAGTGGCTGCTGCGTTGGCGAATGGCACGGTGGTGATCAGAGTGCGCCATACATGTGCATTATAATTCAGCAACTCCGCCGTCGTTTCTATAGCCAATTTGACCTTCAGGTCCATGTTGATTTGCTGCGAGACGACAAGCCCTGTGGCATTTCTCGGACTGTAAGCCTGGACACTTTTCAGCGTCATCTTGACGAGGGCCTCAATGGAAGAGATGTCGTCTGTTGGTCAAGGTCAGCGTTTAGACTCCAGAGTTCGAGAATCCGAGGCGTAGGGCGTGTCAAGCATACCAGACGAGGTATAATGCACCTGCGCATTGGGGTGATATCGTTTCACGTCATTCTCAAACTGTTTCTCTTCTTCATAAAACTCCTGTTCCGCTCGCGACTTGATGGCCTCGAGCTGATTTTCATTCAATTGAAAGGATGTTCGAGGGCATCCCTGCTCAGCATCTGCTTCTTGTTTATCTCTGTGCTCTTGGCGTAGGACCTCTTGGATCGTGTTCTGCCGGTGACCAAGTTCCTTGTCTTTCTTGGTTCGGACCACAATCACCGGCGTCTGGGCGTTGTGTTTCCGGACTTCGTCAAGAAGGTCCTTGTGAGCCTGCTGAATCGTTCTTTGGGATGAGACCTCTACGCACAGCCTGAGCAAAGAAACCCTTAGCGAAGAACCGATCATATTAAAAGGTACACACCCTGGGATGAGACGAACCAGATTGCATGCAGCCGCTCGGAGGTGCTCTCCGCTGTGGATCGTTTCTGAAGAAACTCCTTCAAAAGCCGGACCTCTTCCATCATACCGACCTGGAACCCACGGGAGTCATGGATGATGATACCAGGATGACGGTCGGACTCGAATGCTTCATCAACATTATGGTTGACCATCTCGCTATGACTGACTGGAACCTGAAAGGGGTAATCGATCAATGCTCTTTGTCCTGCTAGAATGTTGGTTCGCCCCCCCCCCCCCCCCCCCGGGAACGTACCAGAGGAATGCCAAAGACGGCATTGAGGAGGGTGGATTTGCCCACTCCGGTGGAGCCGCACACCAGAATCCGGCATGCTTGAATTTTACTCATGTCTGGCGTGGCCCAAGGATCCAGTAATGTCTCGGGGAGTAGCTGCAGCGAGCGAAAGGTCTCCAGATTCGCTACGTGATGCGATTCCCATGCATGCAAATTGACAAGTCGCGGGTAGCAATCCATGACGAAGTACACCGATGGATGGATCACTGCTCCGACAGCGGCTACAACAACCAGGGCCCGATAGGTCGTGTTAGTTGATCGCAAGGTGCCGGCGAAGGTAGGGCGACCGGATGCTTGATGAATGCTTACCTCCATCCTGATATCCTATCAACTTTCCGCGGGAATCGGTGTCAAACATCTTGCGGGCTTTGGGCGGAGCGTTGTATCGCGTCAGGTAGAGGCTTGTTTTGTTGAGCCTCACATAATGCTGTGAGGGATCTGTCTCCTGTCTCCCCTTCACGTTCCGGGTGTGCGAGTGAAGTCGGTTTGTGGGGAGCGACTGGATGTTGCCGTGATGGTGTGAGTCGCGCAAATCGTACATCTCGACTGTGAGCTTATTCGCGAATCTCAGAACCCACGGCGGGTTTGATGAATGTTGGACTGGTTGTACGTGTGACCTAGTCGATTTGACCTCTGAGGGAAAGACCAGATCGATTGTCGCGGGCCCGATGTCCTGGTCATCGCGGACGGCGTCGTCGCGAGTTATGCCCCCCGTCAGTCCCAACCCACAATTCCGAGCTTCGACAAGCATCCACTGCAACGGGTAGAGCGAGAGTCCATCCATCTTGGGGCCTCCGCCGATATCAACATGGGAACCGACAAACCAGGCCTCCACCCAGTTGGTCTCCTCCGGGGCTGGGGTATCGCCGCGGAAAAGTAGGATCGGCTCGAGCTTTTGCTGTGTCTCGTGCAATGCAACAGCGTGGCGGACACATGCAGAGGAAGGAGGTAAATCCAGGGGGGTGTCGATGAACTGGTCATTGATGGTATCAAACAGCCCGACAAAGCGAATTGTCGGGCTCTCACGCGCGCTTTGCCTTGTCGATACCCTAACGGGGACCCCGGGGCATGAGTTAAAGCGACCAAGAACCGCTGACGGTGAGGGCACACTTACTGTTTCTGCAGCTAGAGGTCCCAAGGCCAGGAATCAGTATCAGAGCAATCTCCGTGGCCAAGAAGGGGGAAATGACTGGTCTCACGAACCTCTTTCAGGCCGGAAGTCTTGAATGCACTTTTCAAAATCTGCAAACCTCCTCCACTCTCCGCAGGGCTCTCGGGGTGACCGGCTGTTGAGCCGCACAGAAGATGAATCACCGCTCGAATTATTACTGTGTTCGAGCAAATCAGGATCGGACTATACAGCTCTCTCAGATGCACACCGGCGGAGAGAGTGCGGGTATTTGTGCACTTACATGCGCCCTGACTGAAACCAAAGAACCACAGCTCGTCTTGCGGGCTTTGTTCTCGACAATACTGGCCTTTGGGTTAGTCCCACAGAAGGTAACAACGCGAGAATCAGTCCAACCTTGAGAACCTCATCTGTCCTTGCCCACATCGAGGCAGGCTTCAAAGGGGAATTCACTTTAAAGTATTTGCAGTGCTGGATAGAAGGCATGATGAGCCTGCACCGACAGAATAAACTGGGACTGTAGGGAACATACCTGCTCAACCCAATCACCGGTTTCATCCAGTACTTTCCCCGTCTTCACCGTCGACGAGATTCTATACACGTTGCTTCGGTTCCTGTTACCCCGTTCTATGGTAGGAGTCAGCTTCTAGGGTGCGAATAGAGTACGCAATTGTCGGTTATGGTACTCACTCAATTGACCGTGGGAATCGTACCATGGCGCATCAACACAGATCACCACGCGTTTAGGGGATCGGGATTCCATCTTCTCGACAAGAGTGAATCTGGAAGCTTAGATAATAGGAATATTGCAAGTGATGCCTAGAGGGTCGGAATTTAAACGAGATGGGACACACGGGGAGAGTGTGTAGAAGAAAGAAATTCTTCGACAATTCACCCGACCTCCATCATGATGAACAGGGGTACAATGGAGGTGCACCAGGCGAGCCATGGCTGATTCGCAGGTCTACGCCATTGCAACGAAGGAGGGTAGAGGTCCCAATGGGCTGAATGAGTGCTAATAGGGGTGATAGTGAAGTTACATGCAGGCGCATGACTCACGGCTCTTGTTCTTTTTGTTTTTTGTTTTTTGTTTTTTTTTTAATCGCCTCTTACATTCAAGGAAGAGCCGTGGTCAATTGCAGTCCAAGGTGGGCGTGACGAATAGTTCAACAGTGGTAGGGAAGCACAGGCTGATGAGAGATTAGCGCTGTTTCTTGCAGGCCAACTGCGCCCCGCCCGCGGTCCGAGCCCTCGGTGGACCGGATCAGTTACCACTTCTTTGCGGGCGTAAGACGTCGTGGCTTGAGGCTTCTCTTGCCTCTTACCATATCAGCATGGAATTCTTACAATCAATCACTCTGACTGGTTCCCTTGATCCGTACGGTTATGTCCGTGCCTTGGCTAAGGTAGCCGCTGTTTGCTTTCATTCTCGCCTGTTATCAACCCCCCCCCCTTCCTCCAACCTATCATGAGCCAGCATGGGAATGATTGCTTTTCCTCCAGCTTCAGCTGACAATCCTGAGTCCCGGGAAGGGATGCAGTGCGTCAAGCCACTTAAGATAACATGGCGGTCTGCTTCCGGCGAGAGCGGTAAATAGGCTACTTGCGTGGATCCAGAGTCCCCCCGTTCCCCCGTTCCCCCGTCCCCCTGTCTCGTTTGGAGCCTAAAATCTCACTGCGGTGCTTGCAGTCGGTCCCAGCATCCAATCAGATGTTTACAAGGGTGGCTCGGACAGGCTTCCATCGGGTTGATGACTGCCGGCCTACGCTGCCCGGCCGGGAAGATTCGATTTTCCAGGAACCAGCCCCTCACTCGATGGAACCTTGGCTCATGGCTAAGCAATGCAGTGGGGTACTTCGTGAGAGGTATAAGTCACACTAGGTGGGCCAATGGCAAGCAAGTATCGGCATGCACACCAGAATTCCGCCTTTTCTTTTCTGCTGGCTGATGGATGGATCCGAGTGCAGCGACAAGATCAGCCATCTGGAGACGAACAGCTAACGATGAGCGTATCCATCCGTTGCCACGTCTCGACCATCAGCTTGTGGCCAAAGGGGGACGGGACGTTCAGTCGACGCAATCCAGACGACAGATTAGCAACAAGCCACGAGAAAGGCTATGGTGAGGTGTGGCCTATTGTGCCATAGTCATGAGACTGCGTCCCCGGACGGAAGCCCTAGGCATGGAACACTTTATACATTTGACCTGGCACTACGGAGCTGTGCCTCCCCCGTCTGTATTCTAGACTGATGCGGCCTAACCTCTATGCAGTATTAATTCTCTGGCGCCGCGAGTCGCATGTTCCTGCCCATTTTCCGGAAGCCGTAAGTAAGCTCACGATCGCTGTCGATTGGGCCCAGTCATGCAAGGCTATCGCAGAGGACAAACTGTAGTTACTGTACAGTACAGTCAGTACCTGCACATGCTTTCATGAATTCATGCATTCCAGAAAATTCCTGAGGTTATTGAACCGGCAAGCGAGATATCATGCTCCGCGTGAAGCAACAGTTGCGGTATTCGTGTGTTTTCAAGCCAGAGATGACTCGTTCTTGTTCGACCAGAACTGCGAAGTAGTAGATTTTCCAGCGAGTCTAGGCCTACTGGAAAAGAGAACAAGCTATTCAAGCACAGTGCTACCTTACTAATCAGCCAACTTAGAACCTGTCTACCTCCAGGCTGAAGTTATGGTTGGCCTCAATGGCCAGGCAGCAGTGTTCACCGCCCGCTCGGCGCCAGGGTCATGTCGATACCCTCGCGTAGCCTGATCTCAATCATTCATCCGCATTCCCCCGCTGTTCAAGGACTCGGTCAACTACAAATGACATGCTTGAAGTACAATAAATGACCCAATCCCTTGTGCAGCCTCCTGTTCATATCTGTGTGCTCTCCTATGAACCTGATTCTTTCCGCTTCGGACGAGTACATCGGATTACTACGATCCTGCAGGCTTTTGGCTGTTCATTGGATGTCTCATGGTTCTTTGCAAGCTTTGGTGGCATTGGGGCCAGCTGGTGCAACTCTTGTCTCCTACCTCTTCCAGACGTTGGGACATGGGATTGGGAAAATACTGCAGCACTCTCCTCACCTATGAGTTAGCTGACTGAGGGGTCAAAAAGGAAAGGAAGGATGCGGCAGGAATGTTGAAAAATGTTAATGGTATGAGACTTCTATCAAATTCTCTAAATCTAGTCACTGACTTCCCAGCGACAAACCAATCGACAGTGATCAGTGAATATCCTTGCTAGGCTTCGGTCTCCGCATTGGACGACTCCACCGGCACGATGTCATCACTTGGCTCGAAGGAAACGGTATAGTCGGGCCAGCGGCGCGGAGGACTGGTCGTGAACCCGTACTCCAGCTGACACAGCCGCAGAATCCATTTGGCCTCCTCCTCGGGGTTGTTGACGATGCCGATCCAGCCGACCAGGGGCACGGGCATTTCACTTTCCCTCTTTTTCTCCGAGTGCAGCATCACCGAGGTCGCGGTGTACGTCGGCGTGAGCAAGTACGAGTTCACCTGGGGGTCATTCGGGCTCATGGCCTCGATGGCAATCTGATCGGCCTTGGGTATATCGGTCAGCCACACCGCGGCGTGCTCAGCGGTCTCCCCCGGACGTCCTCGGATCAGAACTTGCTTGCGCTCCGCTCTGGCGGTGGGAGTCTGGCGGTTCACCCGCCAGCGCACCCCGAACGCGTCGCGGATATAGCCGGCGCAGTTGAGGGGGTAGCGCGCGGCGCCCGAAATCGCGCTGCCGGCGAGGATGAACGGCCACCCGTACTTGCGGGTGCTGGCGAGCTCCTTGATGGTCTTCCAAGCGTCGCCGTAGGTCGTCATGAGCTGTGGGTCGGCCAGGATTATCCCGTGGATATTGTCCCTGGCGGCCTCGACCAGCGCCACCAGGTTGTCGATGCTCTCCGCGCGAAAGACGACGGCGCGGGCCTCTAGTAGCTTTATCACGGCAGCGACGTGCGGTGAGGGCTGGGGCCCAAAAAATACCACGATTATGGCCGGCAGGTATATCTTCACGGCCACGGGGGTCCCATCCGGCGCTTCATGCACAGCATCGCCCCGCTCGTTGAGCCGGCCATGGATTGCATCCATTTCGTCCTCGGGGATCAGATCCTGGGTGTCCATTATTGGCCTCGGATTTTCGGGGACAACCACGACCTCCCGTTCTTCGCCAAGGTCCCAGAAGGGTTGTGTCACCATGGTTTTTCCAGTAGAGGTAGTGTACTGATCTGTAAGTCTCTGATCTGTGAATGACAGTGATTGTTTACTAGCAAATTGCTAGCAAGGGCTCATAATGAGCTATTTATAGTGAAATCTTGATCCTCGAAGGCGACGTGAGTTAGCGGGAAGAGTCGAGGGAGCACAAGGAAAACAGTGCTGCTGAAGAACCTCAGGACGCGTACCTTTGTTGCTATAACAAACGAGCCTAAGCTTTTTGATAATGAATGGAGCTTCCCGCTAAATATTGTTGGATAAAACGAGGATTGAAAGGTAAGGATACTGGGTACTTTGCCAATTCACTAATGTCGTTGATTGTAGGGTCGCAGAAGCAATTGTCTCTGATGACTCTCAGCGTTTGCTTTTCCGGTCGATGTCAAAGAGGCAGCTTCCCTCTTCGTCTGCCCGTCCATTCTTTTCAGAAAGCGCGAACTACAGGAACTAGTTCCTGGACTGGGAACAGAGAATTCATTCATCGAGTCATTCAATTTCCGTTATGCTATTGACAATCCTTCGTTATGCTGCATCCCCTCGCTAAACAAACCGGAACGCCGTCCCTCATGCCTTTAGTCAATTTCATACGACGCTGGCTGTCCCCATTGATGTGCCATGATAAATCTCACTAGCAATGCGACGGTGCAACCGCAGCTCTTCCTCATTCAGGCGATCTCCAAACACAGCCGCAATCTGTTCCAAGGACTTGCCCGAGGTCTCGGGAACGAAGAAGAATGAGAACACGGAGGCGGCCACACAGAAACATCCAAAGAAGAGATACGTGCCCCAACCCAGAGAGATCAGCATCTGCGGGACGATCACCCCGATGATGAAATTGGCCAACCAGATCATGGCCGTGGCAGCACCTACACCCTTGGCGCGCTTGTTGCTGGGGAAGATCTCGGCTGGAAGGACCCAAGCCAAGGGTCCGTATGAGGTACTGTAGGCGAGAACATAAATGTCTGATGTCTATGTTAGTTTCGTTTGTACTGACTTGAAAGAGTAAAAGGCCGATACTCACAGATGAGTGCAACACAGAACCAGCTCACCCCTTCGTGCGCAGCCCAGTCGCCGCTGTACTTGTTCATGAGTCCTGCCATTATCAGGTGCGGCACAGCCATGGCGATACCACCCCAGATGGCCAGCGGGCGCCGTCCTGCGCGATCCAGATAAGCCAGGATTGGAAGCCCACCCACTAACTGGCAAATGTTGATCATGCCTGCTAGGATCAACGACATGTTGCTATCCTGGCCAAGTGCTGCAAAGAAAGTGGGCGCGTAGTATACAAACGAGTTGATCCCCGAGAACTAGAAGGTGATTAGATATAGGTCATCACGACTCTCGTGCTAGAGATATACTAACCTGCTGGAAAAAGGGAATGGCAAGGCCGACCATGGTGCGCCGGATATACTTGGCTTGAAAGAGGGAAATCCACTGCTTGAATCCCACCATGACGGGACGAGACGCGTGGTCCGGAAACTCTTTGGCAAGGAGTTCTTGCTGCAGTCGAACTTCGGTCAGAATTCCCTTCCATTCGAGTCGGACGCGCTCGTCGGTCTGGGGCAGACACCGCAGCTTGGCCAAGGCGGCGAGACTGTCGTCGTCGCGTCCTCGCATAGCCAGCCAGCGGGGAGAGAAGGGGAAGAGATGAATGGCGATGCCAACCAGCAATGCAGGGATCATCTGGATGATGAACGGCAGGCGGAAGGCCCAGTCGCCGGGGATCGATCTACTCAGCCGTTAGTCTACTCTCCATGACCGTCGTTTAGCTGGCTCGAATGACTTACTTCGTTCCATAGGATATCCAGTAGGCCACGATGGCACCGATGACAATACTGATGGCTTCCAACACCAACAGAGAGCCACGCCAACGGGGAGGGGCGATCTCCGAGATATACAACGGCGCACCCATAGCAAGAGTTCCGACACCAATGCCGCCGATAAACCGGCCTACAACCAACGTGGCATAGTCCGAGGCCGCGGTCTGAATGATGGCTCCAACCACGAAGAAGAAAGTGGCGACAGACAGGCCCCACTTGCGGGAGATCCGATCCGCGACAGCAGGGAAGAAAAGACAGCCGATGAAGGCGCCCAATTCCAGCATGGCGGTCATCAGCCCGGTGTTAAACCCGTAGTGCGCGTTGTCGGGCGAGACTTGAGGGAATTGTTGTCGGAACTGATTCATTTCGAGGATAATGGATATGACACCTTGATCTGGAGCCCACTCATTAACTAATCATCTCTATGATCTCCGGATTGAGACGTACCATATCCAAAGGAGAAACCACCGATAGATGCCAACCAGGCTGCCCCGAACACATACGGCGACCGCATGAGATCGCGCAGCTGGCCATTGTCGTACTTGACTTCTGCCGACAGTATCTCCAGGGCATCATCCCCAACGGATTCATCGTGGACCACCTTCTCCTTGTCCAGGGATGTGTCATCGTTCACAAGTGTTCCGGCATACTCATCATGGACAGCCGAAGTCTTGTTTTCCTTCTCCGGGGAAGCGTCTTCGATCGACATGGTGACACCTGCGAAAGGGAATGCACGAAGGATGGATAGAGATGATTTTCGTCGCAATGTAATGAATTGGAGATGCGCGTGTCCTGCAACAGACTGGAACATGCATCCGACCGGGGACACGAAGTGGGTATATATGCATTTTCGAGGGAAAGCAACCATCACCACCAGCCCGACAGTAACTCACTCGCGGACCATGGAAACCCAAGGAAAGCATAAACCAGGCTATCCAGCTCCGACCCAACAATTGACAGTCTATCTTTTCCCGCATGAGAGTCGGTGTAAACCTGGAGAAGAACCCGGGGAAACGAGATGGAAACACGGGGGGGAAATGCATCCCACCCTCGTGATTGGATCCCCCCTTGGCCCGTGGCGATAAAACCTTATCCGGCAAGCACTCAGCGCACCTAATGAGGAAATTTGCCGTATTGGGTGGACGCGCTAGCGACATAGGCTCAGCCAATGGCCGTGCAGGACTAGAGCAGGAATGGCCTAGTCTCGGGACGGTCCCGACGCACTGGCTGCCGCGTGATGTCATCACCTTCGTGACTGCGCAGTTTGCAGGTGGTAGGGGCGTCGTGCAATGGGCATCGATGGCCTTGAGGAGCCGGGCCGTCGTCTGGCGACCTTAGATTCCCCGCGTTCGAGGTTCCTGAGGGCAAACGCCGCGAAGAGCGTTTTATGCTGGCGAGCATGATCGCTCGCATCCTAACGTGACTTTCGCCTAGAACCACGTAGTTGAGGTCTTTGAGACATGGTGTGCTATGGCTATAGATATCTTTGATGGCGTGTGTGCCGCCGAAGGATAGCGAGTTCGGTCCGGTGCGTAAGATCGGGGCCCGTCGGTGAGCCTCGTACAGGTCCTTCGAGCGGTAGCCACAGGCGCTCAGGTAAATGTGGCGCAGGTCGGTGAATCCCGAAAGTGGCGAGAACCCGGGGTATTTGCGGAGTCCTTTGGGCTCATGAAAGTAACGAACAATCGGAAGAATGAAAAGGTAGGAGACACTACGAAACGTAGCGGCTGCGAAAAAGACGAGTGCCAACATAGTAAAGGTTGGCTTGTGCCTTGCAACAAGCCTGTGGTGCCTTTGCACATGTCTTCCATGGGTTCATATTTGTATACACATATATCTCAATAGCCGGAAGATGACTTCACACGTGCTGGGACGGGAAATGATGCCAATTCTGCCTGAAGTTTCCCGTCTCAGACTCTGCCAAATTCAAATTGGGATGTTTGAAGTATGCCTCATGCAAGTGCTCCTGACAGAGTGTCTGTTTAGTTGATGGAGTGAGGAGCATGTGCCCGTCGAGTCTTCAATGGATGCCACGCTTGCTTACCAAAAAAGGCAAGTTTCCTCTTTGGGACATGTGGCGACATCGCATCGCATCCTGCTGCAGTGATATGCTTCTGCTGTTTCATTTGATCTTTGCCCCACAAGCTTTGCATGCAGCTCATACACGGGTCCGGGGCAGGTCTCCAATATCCGGGGTATTGGGGAAACAGCGAGGTCTAGGTCTTTACAATAGCGTTTCCCTTAAATGGGGCGACCCCATGCAGTTTGCAGTGCATTGATAGTGCTTGCTGTCGGCCATGCATGGTCCCATTCCAGCCCTTCCAGTAGTCGAATTAACGCACCCTGCTCGCCAGGATCGGTGAAATACTCTCCGCATATAGAGATTCCTACCATCGCCGTGACAAGGGCAGCCGGACAAGGGGGATTCCAGACCGCCAATCCACACAAACGCCGTGTACAATCCTGCAGCTCTTGAACTAGGGCTTTGTCCCTCGACAGGGCACCGAGTCCAAGCCGCGACGCCCGCCGGGGGTCAGACACCGCCAGCAGAATACGACCGAGTTCAATATGCTGCGCCCCTGCCACCTGGCAGCTGTTCATGTGCCAAATCTCAGGGAAGTGTTTTCCGACCGTCGGCTCCCGATCGCGATAATGTATAGGCTTGTAGGGCGCGGGCTTTGCCTCCTTCCACCGCTCTTCGACGGCCTTCAACTTGGACCAGCGCTGCAAACGCTCCTCCGCGCTAGAGCGATGATTGTCACCAAAGCAAAACAATAAGAGGTCAGCCACCCACACAAGAATTCGGTTGGTCCAGATGAAATCATTCGCTGCGTCGCACATGGTGTAATCATTAGTCGGAGAGACCGGTAGTCTAAACTCTCGTTGGTAGAGGAAAGCACTCCAGATCTCCTGGCGGAGAGCACTCAAAGCAGCGGAATGGCGTAACGAGACAGACGGGCAGGCGTGTACGTTGATATCTCGGCTTGGACCATGGATCTTAAACCAAGCATAGAACGATTCATCTTGTTGCGTATTCACATTAAACTGAATTGCATTGAGGTACGCTTCCGAGTCACCTAGTGACGGAGCTAAATCCAGGGGAGTATTAGCATGTCAATTCTGGTGGCCTATAATGCCTTTCGAGCTTTACCTTCTATTTGCTCATAGAATCTAAGAATCGTAGCAGCTGTGAGCACGTCTTCGTTGTACACTTCCTCTGGGTCATGTGATATCTCAAACAGATACGAGATGCAAATGTCGTGATAACGGATCGCCGTCTCGGGGCTCAGCAGAGATCGAACCTCTTCTGGGAAACCAAGAGTCTCCAACGACTTGCCACATGATGCTAGGCGATTGAGATGTCCCGCAGAGGCCGTGTATACCGCGTATCGAAGGACCGGACAGAACATGGCTCGCTCGGGAACATGAAGAGCGAAGTGGCGATCGCGGTCACTGATATCAAACTGGATCGGTTAGTCGCTTACGGATGTTTGATGCTGATAGCCGGCGGTGTGCTTACCCATTGAGCCAGATTCTGGGTAAAATGACGCAGCAAACAAGCCTCCTCGAGGTTCAGGTAGGCAGCGTCGGAATGTGACGTTGGCAGCCCGTGTAGGGGCCCGGGCGGATATCTGCTCCTCTCCGATGCGCCCAGTGTAACTGTGGGGGGTTGATTGCGCATGTTCGTGTGCTCCACAGGATAGGAAGACGATCGAGCTGCAACCTTATCTGGTATCGTTGTTTCCGAAGATGCTGTAGATGGAGATCGACCGTCATACCGTTTGCCCTCGAGACATGATGAAGACTGCGAACGAGGGGGAGCTGCTTGAGTTCTGTCACTGGGGGATTTCGCCTTCTTCGCCACTCTATCACCGACCGCACTCACACCACTTGCGTTTCGACACACATCGGAATCGGAAGTGGCTCTATCCCGCGCAACATGGGGCGTCATGTCGACATACGTCAAACGGCCTAAGCTATAAGTATCTGTCACAGATGTTTGCTCCTTACATCCGAGAGTACGTACGTCTTTTCTTCGACTGGACCCATGTCTGATCGGGCGCGAAATCGAATGTTTGCCGGCGCCGAGGAACCGAGCGGAAGCGGATTTTGGGGGGCGCAGGATCGCACTGAGCTTTGCTCTTCAGGCAGGACTGACATGGTGTATCCTCGGTGCCTAAGATTATAAGTATTAGCCATGTAGCCTTTGAATACTCTGACGTTGTGATTCTCCTACATCGTAAGTCGTGATCTAGAAATCGTTGAGGTGATGAGCGATCAGCGATTGCTTGGCGGTGGGGTTGACTCACCTTTGCACCCCACGCATGATTGCGCGGACGCAGTCGACGTCGCCATGATAAAGCTGGGCTAGCAAAGACTATCGGGGGCGCATGACTTGGGGCATGATTGGTAGATGACAATCGATGAAGGAGGTGGCGAGGATGAAAACACGATGGAGATGGAAATAGTTGGAGAAGCTCGAGTGTGGTGATGCGCATGCGGGGAAGGAGCCAATTTCCCCGATGGACGGCCTTGCAGCCTCAGGCATCGATATATCTCGTTCACGAAACGAGCGGGAATAGTAGGTAGACTCGATGATTCGACCCGCGGAGAAAGGCGCCTTTCCTTGGACCATCAGTGTGTAAAAGGGGTTTGTTTTCGTTCAAATATTCTCTTCTCCACGTACGAAATACACATGCTATCGTGGTCTAGGTCTAAGGATTGCCTTCTGTGATATATTCTATACAAATCAGAGACGACCAAATCTGTGGAGCCTGACTCCTGGTCCTTCTATCTAGTCTAATAATTTGCCTCAGCCTACCAGGATGTCTAAATACACGTTTCTTCCCCAAGTTGAGTACAGCTGGTTAGGAAGCTATGCGCGTTGACAGGCGATCCTCGTCGCTCGTATTCAGCAAGGCGAACAGCTTTCCTCCGGTAGCCCATCATTCCCCGTCACCGCCTAAAGATGCGAATGTGCAGTCTTCTAGCTTCTGTGCCATATCGAACGCTTTAACTTTTCGATCGTCTGCCATGGGTCCCGGACATCGCCCTTCGCCCGACGCTCTCCACGTCCCAGAGCCACAATTTGATCGTCTGGGATCACGTACCATCTAAGGTCAAACGCGCTCTTCTTCAAGTTGGGCGCCAAGCTTTTACACATGTCGGTCTGGAAACCAGGTAGATCCCTCCACCTGATGTGCTTGTCAAGATTGATGTTGAGAGTATTGGGGACCTGATGCTCGAAAATAGTCACCGGCCGGGTTTGTCCACACCGGAAGGCGAGGACCCGTCCCACTGCTTGATCAAACACTGCATGAGAGGGGGGCGGCGAGAACAGGTGAACCTGTCGGCACGCCAAGTGTAGATTCAAGTCCAGAGAGGGAACCAGGTACGAAAGAACAAGAACCATGCATTCATTGCCGCTTGTATCGGTGAAATCCGCGATGATGCTGTCTCTCCTCTCCTTCTGGGAGTCCGGATGGAGGATTGCGAACGGAATGCCTGTTTCATGAAGGGCTGCACCGACAAAAGCTTCTTCTCCTGGGTGGTATGTCCAGATCACGGCCTTCTCGCCTAGAAGACACACCTGATGTTGGAGCGATTCTATGAGAGAACGCATCTTCGGTGACCCGTGCAGAAGAAGATCGAGCCCTTCGGACTTGAGGTGTAGAGGAGCTCTGTTCCCATCACTCGGACCCGCATCCGAACCTGTTGCTGCTGGCAATGGTTTCTGATAAAAGCTTCTTCCCTGTTCCCCTGCCATTGGTATTCCGTCTTTCTCCAGGGCCTCCCGGAATCTCTGAAGCACCTCGTTTCTACCGTCATTGAGAGCCTCAATGTCAGAGATTAAACTCGTGGAAGCCAAGCGCCGTTCCAGAGCGATAAGGCCAATCCAAGTTGATCCCATAAGCACTTGACGGAGTTTGTGCATGTCCCATTTGTAAATCGAGCAACGCTTAGGACTCGGTTCAAGGAAATCGCTCTGGTACTTATCCGCACAGTGCTGATAAATCTGAAGTTCTGCGTCCTTGAAAGGAGTGATCATGGTTAGTCTCAATGCTGGTGGGTGACACGCGCTGATTTTCCGATCTGAGTCCAACCATACGCAAGACGCTACGGTCCGTCGAATCATCAAGTGTTTTAGTATGGCACGAATGCGAAGTTGGCATTGCGGAGGTTCGATGTCCGGCGCCAGAATATGCTTGAAGACAAACTCTCTACTGCACAAGATTCTTGAATCGTCTGAACCAAATGCAGAATGGAAAATACTAGTCAATCGAGTGGGGTCATAAGCGTTGGCAGGTAGAGGATATGGCCAAAGCAAGATTGGCGCATAGCTATCGAAATCACGAATGTCACGGAAGAACGGAGTTGCGGTCAGAAGCAGGTTGAAAGGGGCGTGTAACCACATCCCGGCGAGCGAAAAGCCTGACCTACGTGTGCATAGCAAGTGCGCTTCGTCGAAGACCGCCATTGAGAACTTTCCTCGTAAGGAACGGGTGCAACGAGCCGGCATGTCTAGTGCGTCCGGATCATAGACTTGCGCGTGATTCCGACACCATTTTTTGACGGCCGAGGGACCATGCGTGCTTGAGAGTGTCTCGTAGCTGGTCACAACCACTGCGGGGTCTTGTTCCTTGCTCCCGAATACTTCATGCTGCTCCTCCAATCTCGTTACAATGCGGTTCTCGGATGATGCATCATCGCCTTGCCGGTCGGGCACATAGATCCAGATATGGAAAATATCAGTTATTGCGTGTATTTTCTCGGCCCTTTGATCAACAAAGAGAGATGGAGCAACAACAATGAAAGGTTTGCCTTGGTGGCTTCCCGTTCTGACCATGTGCATCATGAGTGCCAGTGCCTCCCAGGATTTACCAAGGCCGACAGCGTCTGCGAGAATCGCTCCTCTGGTCAGACCCATCCGTCGGATCTGGTTAAGTCTGTTGACGGCTACCGGTTGCCATTCTTCTAAAACGGCATTCTGGCGCATTCCTGGTATCTGGAGATATTGTTCATCGACAATGCCCAGGTTGTGACAGGCTTCAGAATGGTTCTTGCATTGATACGCAGGATCGTTCAGCCAGCTCTGCTCTTCTTTCACTCTCACGAAGTCCTCTCTCAGGGGTTGGACTACCTTCCGTTTGTCGACGTGCCAACCCCACTCTAGATCCAAGACTGCTGTGTAACTCGGCTCGTCGAAGTCGTCTCGAGAATACGTAGAATAGTAAGCCTCGGAGTCGTCTTGAGAATACGTGGAAAGGTAGGCCATCGGCAGATTGCTCAGTTTCTGCTTCTTGTGCGGAGTCTCATTCTCGGGGTCGTTACTAGCTGACATCTTGGGAATGACGCACATTTCTTCGGCGTTCAATAAAGCTTCGGCCCCTCTGATACTTTGAAGAATCGGTCTGCCCATAGTTGTCGCGATTCTCATGTATTGCCAAAATGGCTCAGAGCGGTCAAACATGGGACTACTCCTGCTTGAGATAAGTTTGGAGATGGCGCTTCGTATCTCATCTAGCATTGCAGCTGAGGCCGTGCTCTGTGGCTCATCGCCGGGTTGGGGATTCAATTTGCTCTCTTCTGCTTTTGCAATACCTCTAGACTCCGACGAGGCAGAGCCCAGTGGCTCATCACCGGGTTCGGCTGCCAGACCTGCCCTTGTAGTTTCTGGGTCTCCGAGTGCTTCTACCGGTCCACTGTTCGTCTTACTCTTCTTCTCTCAATCTCCACCAGTAGTGCTAGTCATGCAGGTATTTTCCGGAGAGCTTTAGGTTTTCGTTAGGATTGGTCCGACGGTTGCGCTGGGAGACTTCGACTGGTTCGTGTTCGGTTCGTCTCGGGGGTGAACGATATCAGGGATCAAATGCAGAGATACTCATAAGTATATTGAATTCGGTGGATCTGGCACATCACATAAGATATTGAGTCGTCGGAAGGATATATGATTCATGGCCAAGCGAAGGAGATAGACGAGAGGGCAGAGAGCAAGAGAAAGGTGAATGTAGCGCAGTGGGTGAGGAAGCTGGACTGCGCGCGAGGAAGGCAAGAGGAAGCCTGAAGCTCACCAACCACGGCAACAGGTGGATGACACTACTTTGTCTTCAAATCGCTTCTACCCCTTGGGCTTTCTTACCATAACAGAACATACCACAATCAACTCCACCTTTCAGGTGACTCAATCTCTTACCAGCCATCTTCATTATCACTCTCTTCTTCTTGGTTACTCAATCCCACTTCAAACTACAACATCTACATCAACAACGCAAATCTACTTCCAATCCACAACATCTACACCTCGCTATTCCAACCCACCACAACACCTCATACCATCACAATCACCGTCAAAATGGCTGTCACTTGGAACTCAGAAGCCAACGCGAAAGTAAGTCACCGTCAAACTATATTTCCTATCCTCATCACCACATATGCTAATCTCGATCTTGCATCACAGCTTTTCCTCGGCGTTTTGACCCAGCTTAGAAACCTAAGTATCAAGCTTGATTACACCGCACTAGCAGATTGTGTGGGTCAGGGTAAGTGCTGTAATGCCCCCGTCGTCAGAGTATCGATACTGATACACGAGAAGGATGCACCGTCCGAGCCGTGCAGCTGCAGATGGACAAACTCAGAAAGCAGGTCTCCGACGGCACCAGTAACCCCGGAACCCCCGTCGGCACACCCCGAAAGAAGGCTACGACTGCTGCCAGCAGTGGTCCCTCCAGTCAGGCTCTTCTGTCTGCCAAGCGCAAGGCGGCCCGCATCGCGAAGCCAAAGACTCCGACCAGGAAGGGCAAGAGTGTGTCCAAGGTTGTGAGCAAGGCGAGCAGTGAGGATGACAGCGAGGACGACAGCGAGGACGACGGCGAGGAGGCTGCGAAGCCAATCATCAAGGGAGAAGATAGTGAGGAGGATGCAGAGACTATTGTCAAGGGGGAGGATATTGATGGCAGCGACAAGACCTACGCCTGATGGCTTGAAGGGGAGGCTGTGCTGCTACCTTCCATACTTCTCGCCTGACCTTGAGGGTCACCGGTTTTCTAGCACCTACTTGGTAGTGCCAATGCACAAGAATCAATTTAAATGATGATATCCGAATGAAGTTACGAATCGATCTCAAGTAGCTTCCAAGGGGACTTAGAACTCAAAAGGCAACATTGCATACCATACAGACGTAATTCTCTGGACTACACCTGGCTCTTCACAGATATGCTTGTAGGTCCTCAAACAGTAAATCAACACATAACCGTCATATTCCGGACTTATCAATGCATCAGTAAGTCTTAACTCCATCGAGATCCAGCGCCTCACTGAGCAGTTTTCAATAACACTGAGTTGCAAACAAGAACAGTGAATCACGCACCAGACCTCTGCATCACCTCAGTATCACAGTCTGAGATAAAGACGTCTCAACAAACTCTTCATCTCCTTTTAGGCTTAACCACTACCCTCATCAAGCCTCTTCAGAGCAGTCTGCCTATCTACAACAACCGTCATCCTACAGTCATCTCTCACCATCTCCATCTCAGACACCACCGATACACCATCCCCTTTCTCATATCCCAACAAAGCCGACACTGAACCAACACGCCCTCGCAACCACTGTTCAAATTTCCATATCCATCTCCTCATCTCATCAACACAACACACAAATTCACCCTCCTATCGATCCAACCCTCAAATTCATCCCCTAATCGACCAAACCTCCACCTCCACTTACCACCCAAACCAAGCACACCACACAACCACCAAGCAAGAATCCACAACCACCAAGCAAAATGAAATGGACCCCCGAAAACATGAACATCGTACGCTCACCTTCTCCTCATCCCCCCATCCCCCCATCCACCCCCCAACCCAACCTCCGTAAAACTAACACCCAGACCCAGCTCTGGGAAACCCTCTTCGAAACCCATAACCTAACCATCGACATCGACAAGATGGCCGCCGTCTGGCGTGAGTACCTCCCCATCTCCAAAATTCCAAGCTTTCAGAAAATCCCCGAAACTAACGCAACCCAGCCAACGACGACGAAAAACCCACCGCCCGCGCCATCAAAGAGCGTCTCGAGAAGTTCCGCCGGAACCTCAAGAACGGCGGGAGCACTATCACCTTCAGCATGGGTGGGAAGCGCGCGAATACGGAGTCGCCGGAGGCGAATCGGGTGAAGAGGCGGCGGGTTCCGGTTAAGAAGTCTGCAGCGGGGAAGGGGGGGGCTGGGGAGGATGACGGGGGTGTGCAGGGCGGTGATGAGGGTTTGAGCGTGAAGAAGGAAAATGAGGGAGAGATGGGCGGTGTCTTTGGTGGTGATGTTGTCTAGACTCTGGGTACCGGCCTATGCTATGGAGATATTCTCGTCGCTTGATGCGGGGATTATGGGGATGCAGGTGAGTGGGTGGATTGTTTTTCGGGGGTGCTGTGCCCAGGGGTACAGTACATTTGGTTTCCTCGATTTTACTCGAAGGCTAATATGGAATGGCAATGATGATTGCTACTTGAGTACATGGCGTAGATTCTTATTCTGGCTGTGTTGGTGCCCAGTTGTTGTGCTGTATGCGGTCCTGGCTGGCTGAGTTTTCGGGAGCATCCCGAAGATAGACAAGTTTCTACTCGTGGGTGTTAAGCTACGGGAGTACTATGGAACCACCAATTCGAACCGCGGGTCTATCTGCATGATAAATTCCAACATGATGTTCCTTAAGCCCATTCGCAATCAAAAGACACTCTGGTAGGGGGGTCTACCAGTGCCAAAATATAAGATCGACGTCGAAGGCAAAAAGGCAAAAAGTGAGTGCATCATCCGTGAATCGAACACGGGCCTCATCGATGGCAACGATGAATTCTACCACTAGACCAATGATGCTAGTTGTTGTAGTCTTGGCATAGACTAGTAATATATGAGCATAGAAAATATGAAACCGCGCAAGACAGCAACAACAAAGAACTACTATCAGCCCTCGTTCCATGGTTCATTGATGAATACTATGTAGCAGAAACACTTGTATTACTTCTGAAACTCCAGCTCTACTACAGCTCCAGCTCCAGCTACACTCCCACTCCCACTCCAGAAACCTACTCACAAGATATGCGAAGGAGTGTCATTGCATATATATCTAGTCGCTGCGCAAACCGCTCATCATCACCAAAACACGAAATCAAACAGTACATCTCCCCCGTCTGGCCAGACAAAAAGCAAACAAAATGACAGTCATGCAAAGCAGTCCGAAAGATCCATCATCTGTCTAGGATGACCCCCCAGCCCCTCGACCCGTCAATCCCAGCCCCGCTCCACTTCTCACTCTCACATTCAATAACTCAAGCCCAGCAAGTGATGGTGGCGCCGCTCAAGTCAACAGGAGTCGCAGCGTTCGGGTTGCCATCGAGATCGGCAAAGGTGCGCTGGGAGTTGAGGTAGGCGATGCTTCTGCCGCCGTTGACGATGTTGCAGCCCGACCACTGCGCGAAGTTGGTCAGCTGGGCCGAAGAGGCCAGGACCTTGCCGCTGGAGCCGACCGAGGTGCCGCCGTAGAGGGTCTGGATGCTGCGGGTGACGCCGTCGCCGGGGATGGGCACGCCGGCGTTGGCTCCGCTCTGGTCGTTGGCGAGGGAGACGGTGACGCTGTTCACCCGGGCCTCAATGTCCACCGGGGCAGGGGCGGCCGAGACGGCGGCGATGAGGATGGAGGCAATGATGGTGGTGAAGGACTTCATTTTGAATGGAGTGGTTGGTGGACTTCCGAAGATGTTAAAGAGTAGAAGAGTGGAAGAGTGAAAGAGAGAGTTCTTTGGTGAAGACTGGATCTGATGGCTTGTGAGGATGTTGATGTTGATGATGAAGCTATATCTCGACGAGCAGACACGACCAATTTATACCTTTCGTCGTCCCTGTATCTCAACACCCGATCATCAACATTGGTACAGATCTTCAACCAGATCTGTCCAGCCTTCACCGTCAATCCTAATCGCATGAGGCTTCCCCCTCCCCAGCCACCACTTCGTAATCTAAAAACAGTGTCCCAGACTTCAGCATGTTGGTATACGAGCACACGGATGCTATTGATGGTACACCGCAGGGCACAGCCGATGCCACGATCGAGTCGTCCCCCGGCTCGCACAACAGCAGTTCATGCCCGCGTGGATCCGGCTGGCCATGTTTCGTGGTACAGGAGCAATGAACGCGACCCCGGGTTGGTTGCCCATTTCTTAAAGATACACGTGACCGTGGGATGTCGGTGGCCTAACATCACAACCCAGCCCTCGATCCAAGACATCCGACTACTTTGCGGAGATCTGCAGGGTGCCGTGAAAGAGACCCATCAGCCAACCCAACTAAGGTGTGGTAGGGCCCGGGGAGATCGGAAAATGACTTGACAGACATGGGAAGCCTTGCGGATGCGGGGAGACCTTAGCAACAGAGTTAATACCGAAATAGTACCTCTGAGTGGCTCAGTGACTGTCCATACCGAGTTAGTATGGTTGAAGTATTGAAATGTAGTGAGAAGTAGTGAATGAACTGCACCGCCTGCAGGTCTTGAAGTTACCCGCACTGAACCCCGGAAGGGAACCCAATCACTGAGTCCCGGCCAAGCCCGCATTCTCGTATTGCCTGCACTCCATGGGTCCAGCTTGGCAGATAAAAATAACCCCATCGCTTGAGTGACCCTCGTATGAAACCTGTCTTACACCCTGCCTGCCTGCCTGACTGCTGGCCTGGACTCGAGGCTGAAAGAGGCGGTGACGTGAGCAAAGAAAAGCGGTCGCTTTGTCCGCCCTAATTCACTGCCCTGGATGCCATGTCTCAGAACTCGATGATCTGGCAGCAACAAGCACACGAGGTTGCAAAAGTGCAGTCGTATTCTCCACGATCATGCTAGGAGAGGAAAAATAGGCTCCCATGCATTAGGGTCGATAGGTGCATATTTCACCCACACCCGCTATTTCCGATCTGTGGGGAAACCTTATGAGGTTACCATTACTCAACCCTCACCACACCACAACATTACAAACAGGCCATAGCCCACGGAATTGGACGCATCCCAACAGGAACAGTGGATTCGTAGCAAACGGGCACGGGTGCATGAAATCACGAGGCCCCGCGAAAAACTATCGAGTAGACTATTGAAGCCGGAACGAGAGATTTGTTTGACTTCTGCTTGGCGAACTGTATCGCAAGTGCTGGTCCAGGAGACCTGTGTCGAGTACTTTCCCGCCTGAGGCTGTCGGAAATCGTGTAGCCGGCACCCCCTTGTGCAGACTCAAAGCTGACATTGACAAGTCATACTCGTACAGGCAAACTTACTCCCTGCTCATACACTCTCCATTTCTGTAGCCCGGACTTCTTTCTCATCCTCTAGGACAGCAAGGCGCGTTGTCTGAGGAATCTCATATGCTGGGTAGACTATTAGTGACCAGACCGTCTGTGCTAAGACATTTGACTCACATTTGAATTTGCGCGCTGGAACTCCATTTTCGAACATCACTTGGATGTCCTCCAGGGATCGCCCGGCCGTCTCCGGCAAGAAAAAGTAAATCCACAATGCTGCGCCAAACATCAGGCCACCATAGATGAAACCCACCCGGGCGCTGAGATTGGCTCCATCCGCATTGAACAAGTACGGAAAGGTGAACGTGACTACCCAGCTAAAGAACCAGTTGGTACCAGTCGAGGTGGCCATGAGTTTGCTGCGGTTGGGGCCGGTCGAGATCTCCGACGTGACCACCCACACGGCGGGTCCCAGGGCAAGATTGAACACGACCATGAAGATGTAGACCATTGCTACGATGACTTGGTCTAAGCTCATGGTCTTGTCCGTGGCCGTTCCCGCCCCACCGACGACGAACAAGACCACACACACCAAAGAGCAGGAAACAAGCAGCATCACCCGTCGACCGAAGCGCTCAACACAGTACTGATTCAGCCAGACCGCAGGCATCGGCGTAAGGTACAGGCCCATCTGAATGAGGAAAGAGTTGGTAATCCCAATTTGCGAAAAGAAGACAATCCCGTAGCTGGTTATAAAGTTGATGCCTGAGGCCTGTTGAAATGCTACAACACCCAGAGTTAGCAAATTGGAATCAAAAGTAGTGAACAAGACTTGTGGAGACGTTGCTCACCCTGAATGGAGCATCCTAGATAGGTCTTCCGTCCATCTACCTTCCACTTGAACAGGTCTCCCCAAGAACTATCGTTTCGCTGCTCTTCCTCAACCATACTTGTGATATATACTATCTCGCTCTCGATAAAGTCCGGCCGATCACCGTACAGTCGTCGAAGGGCTGCTCGGGCTTGCTCCGTCCTTCCCTTCGATAAGAGCCAGCGAGGGGACTCGGGGCAAAACAGTATGAGGCCGGGAACTAGAATAATTGGGAAGACAAGCTGAACTGCCATCGGAATCCGATAGGAACCACTATCTGTTCGATCCTTAGTAGCATAGTCCACAATCACACCGAACAACAGTCCAAGCCCAACATCAAACTGGTATACGGAGACCAATGCTCCACGAAAGCGGGTAGGTGCACAATCGGCAACGTACAAGGGGACCAGGCACGAAATCAGTCCCACCGCGTAGCCTGTCAATGTTTAGCTTTGAAATGCCATATGCGACAGCCTGGGTATGTGTATGCTGCTCAATGCTGCCTAGGGGTTTAGAACGTACCCATTAACAGCCTTCCAACGATCAACAAGGCGAGGTTATCAGCAGCGACCTGGAAGATCACACCGGCAGTAACAAAGGCACTAGACACAAAGAGCCCTCCTCGACGTCCAATGCGATCGTCTACCAGGTAGGAGGAGACAGCGCCGACAAGCTCCCCGACGTTGATGATGCTAGTGGTAAGTGACTGAATGCTGGAACTGAGGACATAGCCACCGGTCGCGCTGTCGTAGTGTCCATAAGCTTTGATGAAGGGATCCATATCGAGGATACCTATTTGTCACAGCATCATTAGCTCAGCCAACAGACGGGACCATGATGCTGAATCGTGAAGGTGTATCTCTTCTGAGGTGAGACGTCCTGACTACCTACCAGAATAGTAGGAAGAGTCGAATCCAAACTGAAAAGCAGCAATCGTGATGAACAAGCTGATTGCGATTGCCCTCCATTCTCCCCGGATTCCAAGCATATCAAGAACGTGAGTCATCTTCGCAGAAATTCTTGGGCACAGGCAAGGAGGCAAGTATTAGCACATTCCACGGGGACGATCGACGGAAAGATTCTGGGGGCCCCCGAGCATGTTTTGAGGATTTATAGTCCACGAAAACGAAAATCATCTAGCAGATCCGAGTCTGTGAAATCCGGGGTTTCCCACGGGGTAACGAAGACGTCCGAAAACTGGAGGGAGCCAGACCCGGCTGCTGATAAAAAGCCGATTGCCAAGGACAAAATAGGCCGACTAGAGTTTGGCAGCCATGGAGTTCGCGCTATCAGATTGGCTGCATGCCTCGTAGAAGCGTCCACCGGGTGCATTGGGCCCGCGTGGCTCGAGTTCTCGTGATTCGTGCGGGATCCACCTCGGCCCGCTCGCTCAAAACTGAGGTATAAAAGATTAGCCGCGCCGAATCGTGAAAGAGACCGAACTGTCGGCCTACTCTGCCTGCTTTTGAGAGTATCAGACTTCTGCCTAAGCTGGTCGCCATTTTCGCCTTCCTCATAATGACCGTCTCCGTTGTCGTCACCCTCCCGACTCATACCATCCCCTCCTATGAGCAACGAGTTCTGGGGAAACCATCGTCCATACCGGGAGTCGAAGAGTTCCGAGGTATCCCTTATGGAAGTGTCCCAGCAAGGTGGCAGCATGCTCAACTCCGTGATCGATTGCCACATGATGCCTTTGACGCCACACACAATGGGTGCGTGGTTCTCCTGTCCAATCCGTGCCAGAGCACGAATAACCATAATTCTCCCACAGTCCCCGCTGCCCACAACCGCAAGAGCCTAACAATAGTGACTTCTATCAATCGCATCTCGAGTTTCCACAAGATGTGAAAGAGTCCGAGTTCGACTGCCTGAACCTGTTCATCACGAGACCGAGTCCGAACGTTCTTGCTGCTGCCGGCTTCGAGTTCGACAGTCCAGGGTTGCCGGTCTACGTATACATCCATGGAGGAGCATATGGTTTCGGCGCGGGGACAGATCCTATGTGGGGTTAGAGTGACAGGTTCCATGTTCAAATATCGAGGCTGACTGGTACCTTAGATCCTGCCCGTCTTGTTAGAAAGTCCGTCTTGATGGGCACTCCCATCATTGTCGTGACAATCAATTACCGACTCAACATGTTCGGATTCGCCGCTTCCACTGAAATCATCGATGCTCAACCAGAAGGCAAACGGGGTTGCAACTTTGGGCTTGGGGACCAAAGAGTTGCCCTCGAGTGGGTGCAGCGGAACATCAGGGCATTCGGAGGTGACGCAAACCGAGTCACGGTCGGTGGCCAGTCGGCAGGCGGAAGCTCATCTCATGCCCATGTCCTCGAAGCGGCGTTGAGCAAGCGGAAGCCGCTGTGCCAGCAGGGGATCATCCAGTCTGGAGCCGTGGGAGTGCTTGGCCCAATCACGATGGGTGATGCAAACGCCCGATGGGCCACTTTCTGTAAGAAGTTCGGCGCGACCAACGAAAGCACAACCTCGCGTATGGATTTCATGCGGAATGTATCAGCAGATGATATTTTGCGTGCGAATGCGGCGTTAGGCTGGTTTGTCTTTCCATTGGTTA